CCATGGTAAAAGCTGCCCAGGGAGCCCGGGTCACTATGGGGAGCCCCAATCTCTCCACCTGCCCTTGTGGCCCCCCGACTTCTACCAAGGTTCCGGTGCTATTGTCTGCAGCGGACCTTATTCACTGTCACTATTTTAGGTATGTTAGGAGAGAAGACTGTTGTCTTAAAAGGACTGAGGGAAAACATTTGTAATTATGCAGCTAAAATAATCAAATGTCATGCTTCAAGATATAAACTAATCTGCAGGAGTTCAGGCTAATCCCATTGTGGGGTTTCGCCAGGCACACATTGGAGTCCATATTAGGTGTGTGTAAATCCCCCTTATGGACAAATCAGAAACTTCCACGTCAGCTGTCATGTGCGGATCCTGCAGACACCAACCTTGGGATTCCCATTCCCGTTGGGCATGTGACTCCTGAGTGCACAAATGTCAGGGTCCCCAACCCAGGTATGTATGAATCCCCTGTGGTCAAACATCAGGAGTCCCCACCCCAGACACATCCTGATTCTTCATGCACATGTGACAGAATCCACAGAATTGAATCACATGTGAACCCCTTGTGCACATTAGGATTCATACTTCCTCTGACAAGTGTGACTCCTAGCTACAAGATTTTGTGGACATGCTCTCTTGGGCACATACAAACCAGTATATCCAGTTCCCCTCAGGCACTTGTGTGTCCCAGTCTCAGGCTGGGGAAAGTGGTTTCAATTCTTATACAGATATTTACAGTACAAGTTAACTGACCTGTTACCTAGTTATTTGGGCCCCTGTGGAACTCTGATGGGAGAAGCTCATGTTTAAACCTGGCTATATGGAGAGTTCTGGGGAAAGACTGGGCAGGTTTGAGGAAATTTCTTCTGTTCTTCAGGAAAACAGTATGAACTTTGAAGTAGTGGACCAGACATATAGGAGGAACCCTATCCTGAGATACACACAGCACCCTCTGCATTCCCCATTGCTGCCACTGCCCTATGGAGATGTCAGTATCAATAGTAAGTGCTTTTTCATTTTGGCAGAGTCCATTAAATCTCTTATCCCCCTGGGGTAGGGGAGAAGGTACTATGTGAGTATTGCCCCAAGTACTGAATGATGCAAACCCTGAGCACCTAGGGATAGTCTGAACTCTCCAGCACGCTGATAGCATTCACAGGCTGCCTGCTCCCATGGTGCAAAACGGGATGGGGCCTGACCGTCTGTCCTCTTTGGGACCATTATGCACCCTTGGGTTGGCAGAGGGACCAGCCCCTTCTGTCCCCAGACCTTGCTTTGAAGCCTCCCCTCTCCTGTGCATAGCCCTGAGACAATCTGCCACAAATACTTTTCCTCTCTGAGGACAAGTGTGATGCAGTAGGGAGCGAAGCAGATTGATCTGGGAATGTTGTCTAGTTTTACTGGGACTGTCTGCATTGGGGATGGGATAGCAGGGGGTGACTTTACTTGAAGGACGATACCTGAGCCTGTAACCTGAGCCAAGACGGGGGTGGGGCCAGGTGACACCTTTGTCCGGAAATTGGACAAAGGCTGGGGGAGGAGCCAGGGGGCGGCTGAGTGAGACTGCTGGAGTGGGGTTTCAGTTTGGAGCTGGCTGGGGAAATGGAGGGAACCCCCAGGACTGGGGTCTAAGCTCCCTGCCCCCCAGAAGGACGTGATTGAGGGGTCCTGGTTGTACCTACAAGCTCTGTTTGGGACTGTGTTCCTGTCGTCCAATAAACCTTCCATTTTCCTGCCTGGCTGAGAGTCACGGTGAATCGCAGGAAGTGGGGGTGCAGGGCCCTAACTCCTGCACACTCAGTGATAACGAGGTCTGGGACGACAGAGGAAATTGCCCCATCGCAAACTGTGTTCAATGCGGTGACTACTCTGTGAAGAAGAACTTGACCCCAGGTGTAGCGTTTGTTGCTTCTCTTCCTCCTGTTAAATGTACACCTCAAAGGGATTGCATCAGCTTAGCAAAGATACTCTGACTGAACATTTCTTACCTACTTTTGTTACCAGAAATCATTAATAACAGAGCTCAGACACCCCTCCCCCCCAATTTTTTTCTCCTATTTCAATGTGTTTGCTTTGTACATCGGCAGCATTTTCTTAGTACAGTCAGTATCCCTGTCTCCACTTGATGAGGGAGTGTATGTGCCCTACCCCTAGTTGGATCAGGAAGGGATTAAACGCCTTCACTGGGCTGAGAGCTGTCTCTTAAAGGTTGCTGGAGCTGCCAGGCCTAGGCAGAGGAGGTCACTGCTCTGGCCTGTTAGAATGCTAGGAGGTGGAGCCAGCAGCTGTGCCTCTTAATTGGGAAACCATAAGACTCAGAAGCCCGGGAGAGAGGAACCCTCTGATTTCTTCCAAACTAGGGGCTCATCTTCACGTACAGCTTCGCCTGTTGACATAGTTAATCCACTTCCCCAAAAGGTGGTAGCTATGGCGGCGGGAGAAGCTCTCCCACCAACATAGCACTGTCTACATGGGGGGTTAGGTCTGTATAACTGTGTGGATTTTTCACATCCCTGAGTGACGTAGTTATACCAATATAGGTATGTGGTGTAGACCTGGCCTGAGTACATGCCTAAACCAAGCCTGGGGAGGGAGAAAGAAAGAAACTGTAAAATTAGTTGCTTGTCTCCTACTGAGGAGGACTACAATAGTTCCCAGGACCTAGAAGACCAGTACAAACAGTTTCTTTCGGGTTTGGTTGGTTTGGACTGTGCAGAAAGAAGCCACCCTAGGTTTGGACCCTTGGGTAATAGAAGCTGTCTTGTGACTTTTATTTTCCTCTGGGCAAGGCAGCAGGAAGCTGTGACAGGAACATTTTTCTTTTCTTTTAGGGACCAAACGTAAGGGGATAATGACCCCAAACCCCAGGGCAAGTTACAACCTGTATATCTGATCCATTGTTTCCCCTGTCATTTGTGAGGGTCCCTCACAAAAACAGGGGAGACTTAAACATTCTGAAAAGATGAAAACATGATTGCAAAAATTAGCAGGGGCCTCAGGACACCAGGGCAGTGCCTCAAACTGCTTTGCATTCATTTTTTGAAATTAACTAGATTTCAAATTAAGAATGTCCTTTTAAGGGTATTAGAGTAGCAGCCGTGTTAGTCTGTATCCGCAAAAAGAACAGGAGTACTTGTGGCACCTTAGAGACTAACAAATTTATTAGAGCATAAGCTTTCGTGGACTACAGCCCACTTCTTCGGATGCATACAGAGTGGAATAAATATTGAGGAGATATATATACACACATACAGAGAGC